GCAGGAGCCACATGGGCAGTGGGAAACTGCCTCGGGGCTGAGGAAGGAGAAAGCCCCAGTGACCCCTTTGAGATGGTGCCAGGGCATTTCTCTTCTCAGGGGGAAAGCAGGTCACCAGGGCCAGACAACGGCTGGTTGACATCTCATCCACCATTCTGGCATCCCTCCCAGTGCCCTGGGATGCAGCCACCAAGCTCTACTGGCAGCACGCACCCTGAAAAGGATGGTTTCCTCTTTCCTTGCCCTCATCAAGGGAGGTGAAAAATCCAAGTGGGAAAAAGGAAGAGAGAAGGTGCCTTTCTGGCAGAGGCTCTCAAGTGCTGAAGGCAGGGGCTGAGCTGGGGTGTTGCTTCTGCATCTGCCTAACCAAGCTGGTAGGGCAGCCTGCACCGACCCTCCTCATCCCCCTGGGATAGGACTCAGCTTCCCAAGGGTGAGGAAAAGGAGGCAAATAAAGTAGTCTCCTCAAGAGGGATGTCTCCCTCTCCAGGCAGCAGGGAAGCTGCAGAGCAGGCACCCTGTGAGAATTTTCCCCTTCAGAACTATGCAAAAACCTCCTACTTTTTTTAGCAGGGCTCAAGGCCGTTTGAAGTCCAGGCAGGGACCAAGCTAGAATCTGGGTAGAAAGTGCAGGGGGCTGTCATCATCAGTGCCCAGCCCTCTGTGCCATGGAAAGCCCAAGCCTCTCTCCACAGCAGGGAGCTGCAGCACGATGGAATGATTTCATGCTGTGCAGTGTTTTCCCCAAGGCCACACTTTGGAAGACACAGAGGAGCAAGAAGAGCTGACATCCCTCCAACTTCAGCTTTGTCTCCAGATGTCTTTTCCACTCGGTGCCAAAAGAAATGGAAAACAATGCAAGCCCTTGAGTCCTGGGTCAACCACAGCAGAACTGTTAATCCCAGAGCTGCATCACCCTGTCTCTGCTATTTGTATTTGCCACCCTGTCCTCCAGAAGCTCAGCAGACCAGTCTTTTCCTTCCAGCTGAAGTTCCTTCACTAATTACATCAACATTCCTGAAACAGAGAATCCATAACTTCTTCTCTCTGCCAATGCAGATATTGAAGTATTTGACAGGGGAGGAGCAAAGCTTCAAGTCCATACTCCAAAGATTGCTCTTCAGATACGCAGCAGGAGAGGTGATGGAGAAACGAGCGCATTGCAAATAGGCTCAACCAACAGCCACACTGGTACAGCTAAACAGTGTTTTTCACCTGTGTCTTCTTACAGCGACAAGCCATCTTTAGTCGAGAAAGGGGGTTTTGCAGCCAATTTTGTTCTAACTCTTCCACAGCCTCCTTCCATCCTCCCAAACCAAAATTTCATACCACCAACTACAAAAATGCTCTCTTGCCACTCTACAAACAGGGTTTATGTGGTTTTCTCCTGCCTAACCTTCCCTGATGCAAACTTTTCCAACAGTAAAAAGGGAAATCAGAGAGAAGAAAGGTAAAACTTATGGGAAAAAGATAAAAAGGGAGGAAAAATATCAGGTTTGCCCTCTTGTTAAGCTCACAGAAAAATTGAAGGCAGGGGAGTGACCCTCAGGAAGGTAAGCAAAACTACGAAGTTATCCACAGCATATCTCTCACAGGACTACTGCTTATTATTTCCTTCCACCTCTTCATGGCACTGAAAGCTGTAGTGTCCTTACTTGTGTAAGAGGGAAGTGGGGGTAAGAAATTGCTAAAACTAAGATAAAGGTGTCTAGAGGAAAGAAAAACTGGACTTGCCTGCTTTTGAACCCAGAATGGTCTCCCCTTGGAGGGCACTGAACTCTGCTATACTTCCTTGGTTTTTACAGGTAAAGGGCTTCCAGAGCAGCCAAATACTTAAGCTTGATTGCCCCAACAGGGAGGAGGCACCTTGTCCAGTAGTTTGCAACCATACAACCACGCCAAACCAGCAATGATGAGTGCAGAGGGGGCTACTGTCTGTGCATAAAGCAAAAGTCACAGCCTATATGTAACAGGTCAGAAAAGCAGCAGCCATCTGCACCCCAGTGGGGATGAAACCTGCTGCAAACCATTTTCTAGTACCAAGGGGATTTACAATCTGTGCGGACAGTGGGAGGGGGAGACATGTACAGCTGGGAACAGGACAGGGCAGTGGGATACCTTTTGTTTTCTTCCTAAATCATGCATCACCATCCCTGCTTTGTATGGGGTAAGCTGAGACATAGCACAACTGTGCCCAAGCAACAGGATCTGGACAGTCCAGCCTCTTGCTCCAGATGCACATCTGAATGGTGTTCCTGATGCTACTGG